ATGTCTTTAGAGATCTCTCTCTATTTGGGTGCCTGGGGGGTTCACTCCTTGTACCCTCCCCCTCCCCGCCCATTATTTCCAGGTTCTTGGTATTGAGTGTGAAGTATCACATGTAGATGTCAAAGATGGGGCTTGTTAGAGCCCACAAGTGAGAAGCTTGGGCAGGAAGCCTGCAATCTGGGGACTTGGTATGGAGCATGTGGGATTTTTCCAGAAGAAATCCCTTCTCAGGTTGGGGGCAGCCAGATTCTACCCGAACCTCACTGGGTGCCAAAGTCTGTCTTTGCTCTGTTTAATTTAAGGCACGTTCTCTGGACGCCGATGCCCACATGCGCGGTACTAGGGCCACACATATAAGTAAAATATGGTCCCAGAGGTGCTTATTGTCTCATGATGATGACGATGATGATGATGGTGATGACAGCAGCTGAAATTCACTGAACCCTTACTACGTGCCCTTCCTGTGTGAGGTATTTTGTATTATTTCATTTAGCACACACAAATTCACCCCAAATTATTCCCTCGAGTTATCAAAAGGGGAAACTGAGGCTTGGAGAGATTAAGGAACTTGCCCAAGGCCATCATAAGGGGCAGAGTCAGTGATCAGTCCCAGGTCTCTGTGACCTCTAACTGCCCTCCAGTGCCACCCTCCCAGTCAGAGGGCACAGCCTCTCCAGGGCACAGAGACACCTCTGGCTCACCTTGGCCAAGGTTGAGGTGAGACACCTCAACTACCCAGCGACAAGTGTCATGGCTACACACAGGGACTCTGTCTGAATGCTGGTATCACTCGTATGTGCTCCTGAGAACATGGCAAAGCCCGGATGATTTCCCATCAGACGCTCTATCTGCTTGATCCCCAGGAGGCTAGATGGGGCCGTAAAGGATATTCAAGCATTAAGTGAACCAGATGGATTATTAGAGGTTTCACAGCCATCTCTTCATTAACTCTTGAAGACTATTTTATTCTTTTCCTTGTACAGATAAGTACGCTGGAGCCTGGAGGAGTTGGCTGATTTAAGTTTGAACAGTTCATAAATGTCACAGCTGGGATTTGAACTCAGGCCTCCGTGTTTCCAAAGCCAGGCATGTTCTTTCTAGTACACCCGGTTATGCCATGGAATCGACTAAAACTTAAGGACACTCTCTGTTAACAGTACTCGCTGAGGCTCTGGAGGGAAAGCATTGTGCTGGGTGCAGGAGAGACAGAGGAGTCTGCCATGGAGCCCTCTCCGAAGGAGCATACAATCCAACGGCGAGGTGGAGCGGGCCATGCAGATGATTCTAGACAAGATCCAAAGAATGCGGTGCTGTAAATGGTGCTTTTGTTAGCTGACTGTTCCCCGCCCCCCCAGTCCGGCAGCTGGTTTGGGATGCCCCCTTTCACCCCCAGAAAGTGCCGAAGCACCTGGTGCTCCAGCTCCTTTGAGAGATCTGAATGTGAGCGCAGGACCAGGGGATTCCTGGGGGAAGATTTCCGAGGTCAAGAGGGTTTGCAGCTCCAGCGCCCCCCCACCACACTGGTCTCTGGCCGCCCCACCAGAGTACGGCCTTCTCTGTGTCTAGGCAGTAAAGTGTCTGCTTTTTTTCCTCTCGCTGGAAACACACTTTGACATTTTTTAACAAATAACACAATTTTCCCTTTGTGTTTCCCTTAATAAAACACAGAAATGAGAGCAAGAAAAGGAAAGTAAAAAAACATGTTCCTGTCATCTCCACTCTGTAGCAGGATGTCCCCCCTCCCTCGCTGTCTCCCTCCCACCACGCGAGGGCCTCTGCCTACCCCATCCTCACTCCTCACCCCAAATCTCAGCCACAAGCGTTCGTGAGTCTGGTGGTGGTACTTTGGTGTCTCTGCCGTAGAAAGGGGGCTCCACGGCCAGTCTGCTGGTCTTCCCGAATCTTCCACAGATGGCTACTTGGGGACAGGTGATGGCGGAGAGCCCAAAGAGGACCAGGGCCCCCTCCCAGGTGAAGAGGTACCGGCCGGTTACGAGGTCCCTGCGCACCCTCTTGAGGCTCCTTATTCATCGTTGCTCCTTATTTGTTATCCTGGCCTGTCTTCCTCCGATGGCAGCTTCCAGACCAGCCTGGCATGGGCCCTTCCACCTCCTCCTCAAAGCAAAGTACTAGGCTTCAGACATCGTCTCTGGATCTCTTGGAATCTGCTTGAAGTTGCAGGATTCCTGATGTTTGGAAGAGCTGCCTATCTCTTAACAGGGATAAATGTTAAGTTTCCACACTTGGGGCCAAACACCAATTATACAATTGCAATTGGTGGGGGGGATGTGGCCTACCAGCAGCCCCTGTGGAAAAGGACAGAGGGAGGTTTTGTTACTCACACACACAGGGTGAGTCCGCGGCAGCCACGGAAAATGCCAACCCCCAAATCAGGCCATGTTAATGGGTGTTTTATGGCCAGAGAGAGGAGACGAGGTCCCGAACGCACGATCACTGGAAAGCAGGTCTGGGTGGCATAATTTAGGAGGGATAGAGAAAAAACCGGAGCAGGTTCAGAAACAAACGGAACAGAACAGAGAGGGCAGCTCTGCCCACATCTGGCAGATCTTGGAAGTAGGATTTGACATTTCCGATGGCCAACCCTGAGCAATCAATGGACCAGATGTGGCTGCGCTAGGGAAATGAATTTTGACCCAATATAAACTTAACACTTGGACCAGATGAGCTTTAAGGTCACCTCCCTCTCTAAAAGTCAGTCATATGGGGTGTCTCTTCTAAAGCCTGTTTACCTCACTTCCACAAACTCTCAGAAAACAGTATTTCTGATAAAAGGGAGAATATGGCTTCTGGACATGAGGCTTTGTGGCCTCTTCAGTCATTAAAAAGGTGAAATCATAGCATTTGAGTCTAAAATGAAAAACCACGCGGTATGATCAGGAGAATCTTTCATAGATGGCAAGATGTCTGTCTACCTACCCACGATGTCACCGGGGTGGCTCAGGCCAAAGTGAGATGATATTGAGGGAGGAGTGGGGTTCACGATCTCCAATTCATTGAGAGGGAAAATAAAGCATAAAAGAGAAAACCCTGAATATACAAGGTGTATCTTTAATGGTTTGGACACATCCCTTAGCCATATCAGCGTCTACCCCTGGACCAATTCTGCAAAGTACAACAAGGAGCTGTTGGTTCTACTGCCAACTCTACACTGTTGTTTCACAGATTTCAGACCGGGAAGGCCTTCCAGACCATCACAGACAGGAAGGACAACTGCACAGAAAGGTGAACTTGGCCCGCCGGACTCAGTGGCAGAGCTGGCCATGAAAGTGAGGTCCTTGGATTCCTGAAACCATGAGCTTTCACCTTTCCTAGAGTGCCCCCCCCCCCACCCTAGTGAGCACAGCGCTCACCCATCAGTTAAGTAAGTGGCATTTGTTAATCACATATATGTGCCTGGCTCCGCACGAAGGACCCCAGGGCTTATAATGGGATTATGAGACAGTCCCCATGGTGAAGGTGCCCAAGAGCCAGCTGGGGGAAAGACAGTCCTACCCAACACTTGTGAGTGATCTATACTCATCAGGCTGCTTTCCAGATGCAAAGGCCATTTCAGGGATTTGGGTCCCAGATCAGATGTTCTCATCTATCCCTATCCACTTTCAAGCTATTTATTCTCTAAATTCTTACCACTAGTTAAACATAGCTCATAAATTCAAGACCTTTAGTGAAACCAAAACTCTGTTGGGCATTTAAAAATATTCCTTATGCTTGTGTTTGCCCGACTCCATTTTCTTTTTCTTGCCTGACTTCTCCTTTATATGTTATCCTAAGAATACTTCTGTAATTCATATTTTTTCCCCCACACGCTACTGGGGTGGCAAGAAAGGACAAAGGACAGGTGTCCGGGGACATGCCACTAGCCATCTGGGCAACATCAGAGAAATCGCCCAGCCCTGCTAAGCCCCAAAATTCATCTAAGACAATGGATAAAACTATTTGTTCTGCCTACCTCACAGGTTTGTTGTAAAGATCAAGCAAAATCATGTGTGTGAAAGTACCTTGGAAAGTGTAACACAGCATTCAAATGTAAAGTATTAAAGTCTTTGCCCTTTTCCCTTGTTCCCTCAAAGTCATGTTCTGGGTTTGGCTTGTGGTGGCTGGCAGACAGCACTTACCAGGGTGAGCGGGGTCAAGGCCCCCCCAAGCCCATTGGAGTAGGAGCGCCCAGCACTTTTTCTTTACAAAGAAGGAAGTGGTCCTGTCCTTGGAGAAGGGAGTAGAAGGGCTGGCCCTGTGGCATCTCGCCTGCTCAGGTTCACTCTGCCAAAGCGCCTGGCAATTCCAATTCAGTTCCCTTCAGGGCAGGAATTGAGGGGCCCCCAGAGAATGGGGTTGAACCGACTCTCCCCGTGGTATTCACTCTGCTCCCGTTTTCCTCACCTGTAATATGGGGATAATAATTGTCTCCACCTCATAGGGTTGCTGTAAAGATTAAATGAGTTAACTGTGTAACCAAGCCTGGCACATAATAAAATGTTCGATAAATGTGAGCCCGCATTATGATTTATTTATTGAGTATCCACTTGGGGCCCGGCACCGTGCTAACCTCCTGGAGTACACAGATGATTAAGACCCTGTTCCTGCTCCTGGAGGGCTAAAGGTCTCCCACTGTAAGCTAAGGTCAGGAGGTGTAGGGAGTTGACATTTCCCCCCAGTACTTTGCTCCCCTCAGTATGCCCCCTTAGCTGACTCAGTGTCATTGAGGGCTCGGTGTCTGGGGGTCAGATCCCACCTAGTCTCTGCCAGGAGCCCCATTCGAGCTTTGGCCATGGCTCCTCCGGCCTCTGCACGGGTTTCGATCTGAACTGGTCAACCGGTTTCGAGCCCGGCGGAAGTGGGGAGCTTTGCGGGAGCCCCGGCTGGCCGAGAAGGGGATTGAGGAGCTCAGAGCTGTGGGCCTCCCCACCCCCCCCGCAAGCAACCACACGCCGCCAACAGCTTCCCGGCGCTTCCGACGGCGCGGGGAGGGCCGCGGTGCTGCTGTCGCCTGCGGCGGCGGCGAGCGGCCGGGGACGCGGCGTGCGAGCGCCGGGGCCGGGGGCGCGGGGGGCCCGGGCGGCGACCCCGCCGGCGCGCCCCGAGGGAGCCCTTGCACGTGGAGGGGAGGAAACTTTGCGTGCCTGCGAGGCGGCCGCGGCGAGCTGGGCCGCGCAGCCGGGCCGGGAAAGGGAGCTCGGCGGCCGCTCCAGGGGCGCGTTCCCAGCCCGCCTCCCCGCGCACCCCACCCCTTCCCTCCGCCGCGCGCCGCGCCGCGGCCCCTGTCAGCAGCGGCCGGATCCGCCCCGGCGCAGCAGGGCCCGACTCGCACCCACGACCCCGGGCCTCGGCGCTCCCTCCCGGCCTCGGAGAAGCCCCGGCCCTCCCCGCCCCCTCCCCGCCCGCCCCGAGGAAGCGACGCGGCCGGCCAGGACGCCCCGAGAAGGCCGGCCGCCCGCGGCCACGTCCCGGCCCGGCCCGGGCGCGCCGAGGAGCGGAGCCAGGGGCCGGCGCTCGCTCGGGCTCCCTCCCGGCCGCGCCGGCTGCAGCCTCGAGGGCCTACGCCTCTCCCGGCCGCAGCTCCCCGCGGCGCGCGGCCCCTTCCTCCCGCCCCTGCCGCGGGGAGCGAGCTCGCCCACCAGGTAAGGAGGGCTGCGCGTTCCTGGGCTCCGGCTCGGGCGGGCGTGTTTCGGAAAGTTGATTTGAAATGCATCCAAGAGTGAGCAGGGCCAGCCGCGGCTCCTCCCCGAGGCGACTTCTTCGCTCGTGCAGACGTTCGCGGCACCAGCCGACCGGTGGGAGGACCGCCCCGCGCGCCCCCAGCAGCTCTCAGCGCCCGGGGTCCGCGAGCAGGCGGGCGCGCTCCGGCTCGCTCTCTCGGCCCCGCCTGGGCCGGGGCAGGTGAGGGACGCCCCGGGCCGGTCGGGGCGCGGGCCGGAGACCTCGCAGGCCCTCGTGCCTGCGCCCGGCCCCGCGAGGGGAACACCCACTCCTTTTATCCCGGTCTCCCCCCGTCGCTGGGTTCCCGCAGAGCTGTCCCTAGGGCCCGCGTTAGTATAGGTTAGGGCGGAGTCGGACTCGGGATGGGAAACCTGGGCCTGGGGACCGGGTGAGGGTGTGTGTGTGGGGAGGGGGGTGGGGGCAAGCGAAGGAGAAGCGCAGTTGAGGGGCGGAGGTCTGAGTACAAAACGCGTTGACTTCAAGTGAAATCAGATCAGTCAGAGCAGTTCGCGGTGACTCGTCTCTCTCCTCCCACCCCACCTTTCTCTTGGCTGGACTCTACCCTCCCGGCTCATTCTGGTGACCCTGGACACTCCCTCCGTCCTTTCCCAGGAGCGTGGTGGCTGCGGGCTCCCGGTCCCAGAGGGCACGGACCCCAGAAGCATCGTTTCCTCCCCTCTACAGGTCCTCCCGGCCCGGCCCGAACATGCTGGACGGCCTGAAGATGGAGGAGAACTTCCAAAGCGCCATCGAGACTTCGGCGTCCTTTTCCTCGCTGCTGGGTGAGTGTTCAGGCCGTGCGCCCCGGGCGCACCCTCTTTCCAGCAGACAGACCCCAGCTCTGCAGCCCAGCCCGCCGGGACCTGTTCGGCAATAAGGGAGACGGCGCCCCGCGTCGGGCACTCAGTGGAGCCCACGCTCCGTCTGTCCGTCAGTCCCTGTGGGTCCTTCCTACCCCGAACCGACAAGCCGCCCCAGGCCTCACTCGCCGGGCACCGAATTCCCCAAAGCCGCGAGGGGCGGGCGAGATTGCTCGCGGGCGTCTGAGTGGCAAGTGATTAAAAATACTCCGGGCTGGATTTTTAATCACGGAGCTGATCGACATCTCATAAATGCCGCCCGCTTCTCGGGGGCCTAGGGGCGAGCATAGGGAACCCGAAGCTTGAAGGCGCCCAAGTTCGAGGCGGCTTCTGGTCCCCACCAACTCCAGCCCCAATCTCAGTCTCGGGCACGGCCGAAGGGCTTTTCCGGGCCGGTGGGCAGCGCAGCGCGGGGATTAGCCCGCACCGCAGGGCCCTCGCTTCGGTTTTAATTAACTGGAGCCGGACCTCGAGGCCGGCGGGTTTCCCCGCTGCCTCCCCAATCCATTTGCAGCGACCGCTAGGAGCCGCGAGCCAAGGGCCTCGGAAGGGTGTCCACACGCGCGGGTCTCGCTGATATGAGGCCAAGGATTCTCAACCCCACCTCCCACCCCGACCTTGGTGGTTTTCAGGTGTGGGCAGCGGGTGTTTGGGTATTTTAGCGGGAGGGATTTTCGTTTTGTCATTTAAACCTCTTGCCTCTTTCCGTCCTTCGGAACCGCTAGAGCGGGGTGAAGGCGATGAGACAGTTTGGCTGGAGAAACCACATCCGGAGAGGAATTCCCTCCTACTCCCCAGATGAAACGAAATCACGCGCACTGCGTTCCCCTCTTTCAACCGCGATTTGGGAAACTTCTCGACTCCGTGCAGCGTCGGAAGAGCGCGGGGTGGGGGGGGGGGCAGAGCTGGCATTGCCCTGGCACGGAGCGCGCGCGACCTTGTGCCTACCGCGGGCGTCGGGGCGCGCAGTGTGCGCTCCGCGGGCTCCCGGCGGCTCCCAACGCCCGGGGCCTGGCCCTGAACGCCGACACAGGGCAGAAGGAATAGAGAATTTTACAACTGAGGACTATCTCGCTACTTTTCTTAGCCCTCCCTGCGTGCCCCAGGGCGACTGGCCCCACTCAGGAGCTGGTGGCAGGATCCCCCAAGGGAAAAAGTGACAGGAGTGTAGCAAGGAAACGGGAAGGGTCAGGCCCTTTGGGACACCACGCGCAAGAGTATTGTTATCAGGGGACAAGGCCTTCTTTAAATAGCTGTGAAATGTGCCGACAAAGGCGGCCAAGCGTTCCCACATCCTAGAAAAGGGCATCCCCCCAGCAAAATAAAGGAACAAAACAGACAAAAATCCAAGGGGGTAGGGTGGAGGGCATTCCCCATTTGCGTGGAGTGGGTTTGGGGTGGGTGTCATTCGCACACGCGGTAGCTGAGCGTGGGGATTCCCGGAATGCCCGCGGCATCTCGGCGCCCTGCTTCTTTCCTTTTTTCCCCCTTCTATTTTGATGCTTTTAAATTATGCATATGTCTACATACATATATACACTTGAAAGTATACGTGTAAACCCACCTGCAGCTTGTACTCCAGCCAAGGTGCAGCACTTTGGGGTTCGTTACTTTCAACAATACTGAGTTTGCCTGGAGCGAGATGGTATTTTTCTGTACGTCTGAGACTTTTTAGGAAGGAAATAAAAATTTTAAAGTTTTCCCTCAAAAAATACAACAGAATTGCGTTTTAGCAAAAGAAAAAACCAATCCCCCCCCAATTTTTTTTAAAATATTTTATTTATTTATTTGACAGAAAGACAGCGAGAGGGAACACAAGCAGGGGGACTGGGAGAGGGAGAAGCAGGCTTTCTGCTGAGCAGAGAGCCCAATGTGGGGCTCGATCCCAGGACCCTGGAATCATGACCTGAGCCGAAGGCAGATGCTTAACGACTGAGCCACCCAGGCGCCCCCCCAAATTCTTTTTATAGACTCGCAGTTTTCATAATAGTCAAAAGAGACAAGTATAGTGAGTGACTTAATGCTTAGGTGATAAACCTGGGAGCGCAAATTTATCTGTAGCCTAATTTTACTGGTTGTGCGCACATTTGCGTGAATACCTGGGTAGGTTTGATAATTAAGGTCCCTTATTATTGATTTCTGCCCCCTCCCCGGTAGAATGTGAACCTTCCCATAGAGTTGCTGTTTGTTAGAAACAACACCCGGTTTGATTTTTCTCTGTTCTCTAAAACGCGGTTTGGTTGATTAACGGGGGGCTTCCCAGGGTGGGGGCCGCGGGAGAAATCCGCGGGCATGGCGTGAACGGAGCGGGTCCCGGCCGGCTTTGGCCGGGATGCTGGGCCGGCGCGGTTGACCAGAGAACGTCTATTGCTGCTGTAGGCAGAGCGGTGAGCCCCAAGTCTGTCTGCGAGGGCTGTCAACGGGTCATCTCGGACAGGTTTCTGCTGAGGCTCAACGACAGCTTCTGGCATGAGCAGTGCGTGCAGTGCGCCTCCTGCAAAGAGCCCCTGGAGACCACCTGCTTCTACCGGGACAAGAAGCTCTACTGCAAGTATGACTACGAGAAGTAAGTGATCGCGTCGCCGGAGCGCGTCCCCCACGCGGGCACCAGCAAGCGCTGGAGACTCGGTCCTCCTTTACCCCCATCGGCTTCCGAAAGGCGCGAGAGGCACCCGCGCACCCAGAGACGCGGAGGGCCGGTTCACCCCCAGCTTGTCGCGGGTTGCCCTCCCCCGGGCCGCGGAGACGTGCGCGGTGCGCCCTGCCACGGCCCGGCCCGCAGGGGCGCGAGCGACGGCTCCGTCCACGGTGTGCTCGCCTGGTGTGCAGTCTTCCCAGGCTCCTACTCCGACCTGGCCCTTCCCAGGGGGACACACCTCTGTGGGGGCTCCGACCCCATCCGTCTCGTTCCCGGCTCTCCCCTTCCCTGGGGTGCCCCGCGGGCTGCCAGTGGCCCACGTCTGCTCGCGGGGTTCCCACTCCGTCTGAGCCACGTGTCTGCGCCGCCCGGGCGCTTAGGGCGAGCAGCGAGGTTTCTGCTCCCACGGCTTCCATCCTCTGTGCGCGGTTCCCGCTCGGCTTTGTCCCCCCGCGTCGCGACAGACTGGGCTCAGAAATGGCGCGGCGGCCCCTCCGAGCTCCGCGCACATCCTGTTTGCCTTTTCTCTCACTGCCCCCGACCCCCGCCCCGTTTCTCAAAAACCCTGGGGTGCAGGGGCCGTTAGGCCAGAAGCGGGGCCTGATCTGAGGCTCCCTCCTCCACCGCACAGCTTCCCCCCTACCCCGAATTCCCGCGTGGGTGTGCCCTGCAGCCTTGCACCGGATTTAGCTCTCTCCTGCCGACGTGACCGTTCTGGTGTGTTTGGAGGAGAATTAGGCGGCAGGTATTTAAGAAAGTAGATTATTTGGAATCTAGATTTCTGTAATGCCTAAAGCCTGGATGCGGCCTGGATGGGAGTTAGAAGGATTTCCTGGTTCTCGCCAGGCAGGCCCGGAGTTGCTTAGTGGGTCCATGGAGAGAGAACTGCTTTTCCTTGTCAAAAGGGCTAGTCAATGGGGACACGGACTTCGCAAAGCTGTGCGCGGTACTGAAGGAAAGAAAAGCGGCGGCAACGCAGGCCTCTCTTTTTTGCACACTAGATTGGTGTGTGTGGCCGAGGGGATGCGCGTGCGCGCGCAGAATTCCGCATTTGTTGCTGGTGAATAAAAGAGACAGCAGTCGGTGAGGATAATCAAGGGATGGGCAGTGTGCAGGAAAAGCAGTTCCTATCACGTTATTAAAAACACAGCAAAGGGGGGTGTGCAGAAGTCTCCATATAACAAAAAAGAAAAAAAAAACACTGAGAAAGAACAGAAATCTCTTCCTTTCAGGGTTGCCTGGGCTGTGAGGTTTCCTGAAAACAGGCAAAGCGGTTACACCTAGTGACCACACACGCACGCGCTATTTTTGCTGCGGGACAGTGCTCCTTTGCCATTCTCTTCTTGAATTTTACTAACCCTAACCCTCCTGTGGAAGGGGTACTGGGCATTTTGAAAAGATAACTTTACATCTTTAGCACTAAAAAGAATACACGTTCTGCTTTGGACCAGTTGGACAATACAGAAATGAATAAAGAAATGAAAACACATGACCACTTTGCAAAGTGGTAATTATGGTTAACATTTTTTAAAGAAGACATGCCCGTATCTGTTCTTGGTTGTCTGTTTGTTGCCACAGTGTCTGAGTGAAAAGTGCAATTTTTAGGGAATTAAGCAGATTTTGCCCACAGAACTTCAAGTATCACCTTTGGATAAAGCTTCTGGTTGATTGCTCACTTCCCCCCCCCTCCCCCATCTTGCTTTTCATCTGAAGGTTTTGGGATTGTGTCGACCCAATCTTTATCTTTCTGCTTATAGATTACCGAAATGTCCACATCCTTCAGGCACAACACTAGCGAATTCGAAAGTATTGGAGCTTAGGAAAGGATTTGGGTTGTGAATTTCTATTCTGTTTGTTGGAAAAAAAAAAAAATCACGAATCAAAGAAGGCTCAAGGGTCAACACAGCTGTCTGGCCAGTCAGATCTTCTTTAAGGAAGTCAGGCTGTGTCAAGAGGGGAAGAAACAGTTGTTGTAAAGTACTTAACACAACAGTGTCCCCTCCATTCCAGCCCCCCAGGTTTGGCGTGGTTTGGGCTTATTAGGAGCCCACTAAGGTCAGTTCTCCTCTCTCACAGCTATTTCTGCAAAGGGAAAATTGCAGGGATTGACTTGCAAGCTGTTGGCTGGAACCAGGAAGATTTTGTAGAGGAACGTAAGCTGCATTGTTCAGAGAGGTGTTGACGTTACAATGAGGGGGTTTGATTTTAATTTTAACATCTATTTCGGAAACACATGTCCAAAACGGAGTTGCTTGCCCTCGTTTAGCTCATGGCACCCTATCAGCACGGGTCTGTGCCCAACCCCTCAATATTTTTTTTTTTTAAAAGATGAGTTTTATTCTTAGTTTCTCCTCTGTTCCCTGTCCCAATCCCATTCCCTTTTCCCAACAAAATGGGGTTTTAATATATCTGATCATCTTCATGGCATCAGCATGCATGGTGGTTGCTGTGGTTGTTTGTTTCAAAACTAGGCTGCGGACAAATTCCTTTATTCAGCCACCTGTTATCATCAAGCTTCTCTGTGCAAGGCAGGGGGCTGTGTGCTGAGAGGCTATGAGACAGGGCTGCCTTCAGGGGGCTTTCAGCCTAGCCCATTTGCCTTCTGTATTCTCCCAACTATCAAGGATTTCTTAGAAGCCTCCTCTAAGTGCAGGAATACGTATTGCCTAGGAGCCCTCTGGAATGACCAGATCTTTGTCGTCCAGAGGGACGTTTTCAGTTGCAGATATCATGAGACAGTCACAGAGAGCACTTTTTTCCTCTTGAATGAATTGATTATTTAAAAATAGTTTTGCCCTTTTGTGTGGATCTTTTTAAAATCTGAGGCCCAGACAAGGCAAACGGAGGGAGAGGAAAAAGAGCTGGAGGTGAGATGGTGGGGCTGCGTGGGGGTAAATGAGGAAGCACATCATGAAGATGCAGGTCAGGCATGCCCTGCTCGCCAGATTTGCCGAGTTGAAATGCTGTTCCTACACGTTAAAATGAAAGAACGTAGAGCTAGTGTGCAGTCTTCGGTGAAGGGCAGAAACATAATATTAACAGAGCAAGTTTATTGTATTTGTTTTAGCCATTTATAAGTGCTTTCCTGGCTGTGGGCAGTTTTACATTTGAATTACTAGCTGCCTATTCGTGGTGTCAGGTGGTCAGCTAAACAGTGCAAATTCTGCTCTATCAGCTAGTGGTTACACCTTCTTGGTGTCAAACACCAAACTTGTCTAATTAAAAAAAATGGAATGGACAGTGGCATCTGAGGCACAGCCATTCATTTCAGACTTCAGGATGTTTTGTTAAATATTTGTCTCTTACACTATGACACCCTTAGGAGTCATTTATCTTCTGATCATCCAAAACAAATAAGCATTTAAGGCTGGAGTGCAGAACACTGATTTATGAATGTCCTCAGAAATTAAGAACTGGAGGTGATCTTTTTTGAGCATGACAGGTCATCAAAGAAAAATAACTAGTTAGGTGGGATGAGACGTTTACAGAATTACTGAAGTTGTACCAGGTGATTTAAAACAGGAGCGTGCTATAGGTAGGGACGTTTAAAAACTGGATTCCACTCTTTTCAGTGTGCCTGAAAGTTAGCAGATAACCAAAATATTTTCCAGCCTAGGGGACTTCTATTTATATAACTGTTGTTCCCTATTTAACTGAGTCCTCTGTGATCTGGGTAGTTTGGAGTTTTCCCTGAATTTGTTCCAAACAAATACTGTAGTTGGACTTCAGCTGGAGACAGAAGAGGCTGCTGAATAACGGGAATGTGGTAATACAATAGATAATTAAGCCTTCTGGAAGGGATCCCACATTTAAATCAAGTTTATATTGTTTCTTTCATGTGCCTGGCAGCTTGGTGCGTCAGCCGGGGCCCTCTCCCCTCACATGTGAAGTTTATCATTATCCCTTAGATTGTTCTGGACACCCTAGGAGCAGAGTGGGATGGTGCTGCTATTATCAGGCTGTTCTCATAACATCACGACTCCCCACATGTCAGCAAATCCCAGGCCTTGGGAGACCTTTCCTCAGAGGGCCGGTCCATGTTTTCTCCCCTTTCTTTTGGAGCAGACCAATTTTCTGAAGACAGGGACTAAAATGGGGGCCGAGCGGATATCACATTTAGAGCTTTCTCTGTCTTGCCTTCGCCCTGCTGATTGGCAGCCCCTCGGAGAAAATGACCGGGGTAATGATCTCTATTAGGACCAGTAATGAACTAATTCTGCATTTTATCAAGGTGGTGTAGGATGTGTGTGTGTGTGTGTGTGTGTGTGTGTATAGGGAGAAGAATTAGTTAATTAGTTTGGTTTTATTACTGTGACATTACTTGCAGATTAAAATTGGGCATGCAGTTACTCCTAGAAGGGAGCCCACAGATGAAATTACAGAGGCAATTGTAGATTTTTGCTGTACTTGATCTTTTGTTGGCCCCACTCCTGGCATAATAAAATGTAAGGAATACAAAAATCAAACACAGCTAGGTAATAAATTGATGTCTGCATTAAATTGCAGGGGGTTTAGCTCGGGATAAGCGCCGTCCACGGCTGTGGCTGTGTGTTGGTGTGGGCCGAGTAATCTCTTCTTTTATTTGCAGGGTGATTGGAAACAGCCCTTGCTCAGAGGTGTTTTCTCTTTTTATATGGATTGGTCCCTGGGTAGGACTTCCTTGGAATCTAAGACTTAAAATTTTGAAATAAAATTAGCACAAGTAGATATTAATAGTATTCTGGGAATTGTATACGAACATTGCTTTTCAGTGGAGGGCTGTGGGATTCTTTTGATCCTTACATAAATGAAGCACATTATAAAAAGCTATTTATCCAGTCCAGTTGTACATACTCTAGAGTCCTGGGACTTCTGTCATCCACCCAGCTAAGGAGCTGTTTTTGCTTTTAGATTTCAGTGACAGGAGCTGTTCTGAAAGTTCACTGTTT